ATTGGAAGAACTTCGCCTGGATTCTTATGACAATGCAGAAATATACAAAAGAAAGACAAAGGAGTGGCATGATAAAATGATCATACGAAAAGACTTTAAACTTGATGAAAAAGTCCTCCTATTCCAATCACGCCTTCGTCTATTTCCGGGAAAGCTGAGATCCCGTTGGACCGGACCATACAAAGTGGTCAAAACATATCCACACGGGGCGGTGGAAATTTAGGACCTGGAGACGGGAGAGGTGCTGAAAGTGAACGGACAAAGATTAAAACCCTTCTTTGAGGGTTTTCAACCCAAAAATGTGGAAGTCGTAGACCTTTCTGAACCGGTCTACGAATGAGGAACAACAGAAGATATCGTCGAGCCACGACGTTAAATAAAGCGCTTCTTGGGAGGCAACCCATGCACGGTATATTTTTTTTCTTTTTTTCTCTTCTTTTTATTTTAGTAGAGTGTGTGTGTAAAATCTTTTCAAAAAAAAAAATAAAAATAAAAAAATAAATAAATATAATTTTGAGAAAAACCCGCCCGGGTATTCCCAAACCCGGTCGGGTATCAGCACAAAAAGAGAATACCCGGCCATTCCATCCACCGGGTAAAAATGAAAAATCAAAAAAAAAATAATACAAACCCGACCGGGTATGTAGACAACCCGACCGGGTTTTGGTATTTTTTCACCCCTGGGAGCTACTGTCAAGCATACTCATTCGGGTATCAACCAAAAAACCGGCCGGGCATCAAAAAATTTAAAAACGGTGTGAAATAGCCTAATACCCGACCGGGTATTACAAAAACCCGACCGGGTATTCAGCAAAAAAAACATTCTGCCTTCCAGAAAAACAAAAACCCATTCAGGTATTACAAGAAAACCGGCCGAGTAAAAATAAAGGAAAAGGCAAAAAAAAATAGCCTAATACCCGACCGGGTATTACAAAAACCCGACCGGGTATTTAGCCAAAAAGGCTTCTGCCTACGTGAAATAGAATACCCATTCGGGTATCAGTAGTACCCGGCCGGGTATTTGTGCGAAAGAGGCTTCTTTACGGGATTTCTTCCCCAAATCCTCCATCTTCTTCTTCTCCCCCAAACAAAAAAACCCCCAAACCTCCATAGCCAAAAGTCCCAAGCTCCCAATCCATCCCAATCATCCATCTAAATCCCAAATAAACTCCATTTTCTTCTTCCCCACATCATCCTCTCCATTTCTACACCCACAAAAAACACCAAACACCCCAAAATCCCCAAATCCGAAAAACCCTATACCCAAATCCTCAAAGTCCGATTTTCCCTCAAATTAACCCAAACCAAACCTCATTTCTTCTTCCCCACATCATTCTCTACACCTCCACACCCTCAAAAACACCCAATTCCCAAAAAGTCCACATTTTTCACTCCACCAAGCCCCAAGTCCGAAAATCCAACCCCAAAGTCCAAGAAAAAGTTAACTATGGCACCTAAAAGGACTAGAGCATCTTCCTCCAATTCAAGTGCTCCAATTCCACAAGTTCCGGGGTATGAAAGCATCGAATTCACGTCTAGGGCTCATCACAAGAAATTCCTCACCCAACTCAACCGAGAGGTACATTCCACACGATTTCTTTGTCATGAAACATTACGAGCATTGATGTTGTATGATATGATGCTAGAATTGTGCAACAACATAGGACTTACTACATTGTTCCACATGTCCTATAATATCTACACAAGAATTATGTATGAGTTCCTAGCATCGGTTGAATTTACTGAGGATAAAGAGGACACCTATGAGAGCAAACTCACGTTTCGGTATAACAACATACCAAGAACTTTAACGAAACGTGAGTTTGCCGAGCTATTTGGTCTACCGGTTTTAGGTGTGGAGGAAAGAAAGGTAAGAAGTGATAAGACCATTGTGCATGATTTGTGGCGAAGAATGACAGGGGTTAGGGTGTTTAAATCTTCACATATGCATATTACACATGTTCAACACCCTGCCCTTCGAATCGCACTAAAATGGTTTGGGTATCATGTCTTTGGAAAGCCAAATAATCATCAAACAAGGATTAGTGAATTGGCCGTTCTTGCTATGGGTATCTTCCCAGAAGCTCCTAGATTAGATCTTGCTTCAATTTTGTGGGACCATTTAAAATAGGAATGTGAAGCTATGGGTGAAATTTTCATAGGAGGATACATACATCATATATGTACCAAATTTGGCTATTGTGCAAATAGACAAGTTCAAGATTGGAATTTCCTTAATCTTAAGTTCCTACTCACTGCACATGACGTGAGTCACTCCCACACCATTGGGACCACAGCCTTTTACCATTGGACCATTAACCCCTCACCCACACAATTTTTTACAATCCCCTCCGATGAACTTCCAAACATCTTTAACCATCAACTCGGGGATAGGAGACATCTTTGCCTACCAGGAACTACCCCTGACCACTATCTTTATGACATTCCTCAACTTGAGCCACCACCCAGCCCCGAACAACCACAAGAAGAGCCACAACCCGATCCCCAACCCCCTCAATACACCCCCTTTGAACAACAAATGCTGGCTGGTATACAACAACTCAATCTTAACCAAACGGCAATGAACACACGCATTGACGATCTCTACAGTGCGTACCAAAGGGTGGAAGACGATCAAAGACGGGCCTTCGGGCCTATGTATGCATATTTTGACCAGCAAGGGTACTTTTCCCACATGCCCACTCCAGTCCAACATCCTACATGGTATGACCCCTCACATTGGGGTAATTTCGGAGGATCTAGCTCCGGAGGAGGTGGACAAGCTGGCGGTGATGGTGTTGACAGGGATTTCGGAGGTGGTGATGGCGGATATGGCGGCAGCTCAGACACAAACGATGAGGAATACCCATATACAGGCGATTTTCATGACAGCTACTATGGTCAAGGTGGATTCTTTGATGGAGGAGATGCGGGCGGCCACTGGTATGCTCCCATTTCATACTCTTTATTCTTGCTATATAAAAACAAAAAAAAACAAAACAAAAAAAAAATATTTAAGCTTGTTAGGTTGAAAACCCAAAAAGGGCAACTTAAGCAAAATAAAAGCAAAAAAGAAGAGTGAGTTGGGGAGAATTAAAAAGGAAAATGTGGGAAGCTGGGATGAAAACCCGAAAGGGCACCTAGGCAAAATGAGAGAATGAGAGAAAGTGTTTCTTTTGTATTTGCAGGATCCTAAGGGTACACATAAGGAGCAAAAGAAGAGAAACCCAATGATGGTGAAGACCTTTTATTCATGTGTTTTGATCATTGAAACATTCTTTTATGTTGATTTTCAAAAACACTTGTGAATGGTTGTAATTGCTACAATTGTTGGGTTGGAAACTTCATGGACATGATTTGTTTTCCTCGAGACGAGTAAAAGTTCAAGTGTGGGGGTGTTTGATAGGCACTAGTTGTTAGTGCCTAAGTATACATTTTTATTATTGTTTGTAATGTTTATTTACTAATTTTGTGCAAGTTTATAGTTGTTAGTTTGCATTTGATTGTAATCGTATTTCTAGCATTTTATTGTTTGTTGTAAGTTGTAGTTAGTTTGGCTATAAGTTTAGGATAGGTTTGGAAGCAAAAAGGATGAAGAAACCTGAGTTTTGTGCAAAACCCGGTCGGGTATGGACTTTACCCGGCCGGGTATGAAGTGACAAAGGAAACTGCTGCAAAACTAGCAAATACCCGGTCGGGTATTCCATATACCCGGTCGGGTATTCTGTGATTTCGGACCAAAGAACGTGCAGAAGACACAAAAACATGGGAAATATTTGATTTGGTAAATACCCGGTCGGGTATGTCAAAATACCCGGCCGGGTATCCGGCATTAGGTGTTGAAAACACCTATAAATAGCCCCATTTTCCTTCACATTTCATCATCCCTTCTTCCATACTCTTAAGCTCAGTTTAGAATAGCATTTCTTTATATTTTTCTAGCTATGTTTAGTCTCCAAATGAGGAGCTAAACTTCCATTCTTGGTTTTGCTCTTGAAGCTTGTTGATTATTAAAGTTGTGAGTTATTTTCTTAACTTCTTCTCTTGATTATTAATTCTTCCCTTAATCTCATTCTATATTAATGTTGGAAGGTTGCTAAGTGACGATTAGTTAACGTTCCGACATTAATTACTACTAGAAACGATCAACGAACCGATGGTTAATCGTTGGTGGTTTCACAAGTAAGTAACTTCGGTTTATTAATGCACGGTCGTGGTTAATAGACTTAAGAGGGATCAATTTTGTTGGTTAAACCGAAACCGTTGTGTTAAGGTTATCAATCTCAATTGATTTCATCAAGGAGTTAAAAAGATTGAATGCTACTATTATATCAGTATAAGGCGTTGTTCTATATTTGATTAATAGTAAGGGTTATTAATGAACGGTCGTTGTTAATAACTACCCTCGATGAATTGGAGATACTCCTCGATTGAGTATTCGAGAGGGGATAAGTTATAGATATAACAAGGATCGACTAAAATATATCAACAAGTGGAAAGTAGCAAAGCCAAGTCCCTTTTATTCTTGAATTAAACACATATAGGTTGTTCATCTTAGTTTTTAATTAAATTAAGTCACTCAAACCAAACCCCCCCCTTTTTATTCATTAAGTTCATAAAAAGAGAATTATACCTTTCCCTGTGGATACGAACTCTACTACGCTATACTACGTATAAGTGTTAGTATTGAATTTATTTTGACGCACCTTGACAAAGTGCTCGTCAACCGGACACGCCCTATTTCTGATGGATTTCGAGTAAGTTAATATCACCATTGAACGTAGTGTCTAGTCTAGCCTTGATCACGAAGCTGGACTAGACTAGAATGTCATAGAGAGCAAACAACGCTCCAAACTACTCGGTTCTCAGGTGTTTCACTAAGACCATTTACTTGGTCAAAGCTTCTTAGTAATGTCATCCTCCACACAAGATTTGATCACATAGTCCTCTAGAGTTCCATTGTTTGATTTGATCAAAGTTTGATGTGAAACGTGTGAAAATAATGGAATGGCTTACCCAATTGGGAGCCCTAGATGTCATATATATAATAAATAGAGTTCTGAGTACATTAGGAAACATAAGAAATATGGAAACCTAATTAATGAATATTAATTACTCTATTACACCCCCTCAAGCTGTGCAAGGGAAACAATGCGCAGATTGTCTCTAAGAAAAATGAAGCGCTGCGGAGATAAACTTTTGGTAAAAATGTCTGCGAGCTGGAACTGTGTGGGAACATAGCGAACAACCAGATCTCCATGTGAAACTCTCTCACGAACAAAGTGATAATCAATGCTGATGTGTTTGCTCCGAGCATGCTTAATAGGATTTGTGGATAAATAAGAGGCTGAAATTTTATCACACAATAACCGAACAGGCTGGCAAATAGGTACGCCTAATTCAAACAATATAGACCGGATGTGGAGAGTGTCTTGAACTGTGTAAGCAATAGCCCCGTATTCTGCTTCTGTGGAAGAACGAGAGACGGTTGGTTGCTTCTTGGATTTCCATGAAATTAAATTAGGGCCCAGAAAAATAGTAAAGCCTGAAGTGGATCTACTACCGTCAAGACAGCCAGCCCAGTCTGCATCTGAATACGCCTGTAAAATAGGAGAAGAAGTGCTCGGCTGCAGGAGCAAACCATGGTCCGGAGTTCCCTGAAGATACCTGAAAATACGCTTAACAGCCAAAATATGTGAAGTACGAGGTGCCTGCATAAACTGGGAAACCAGGTGAACACCAAATGTAATATCCGGTCTAGTCATGGTCAAATAATGCAAAGCACCTACCATACTTCTGTACTCCGTAGGATCTGCGAGAAGATCACCATCAGTGAGAGATAGCTTAGTTCGAGTAGGTAGCGGAGCACGAACAGGTTTAATGGTGTGAAGATGAAACCAGGTTAATAGATCAGACACATACTTTTGTTGAGACAGGAACAAACCTGAGGAGGTTCGAACAGCTTGGACACCTAGAAAAAAGTGTAAATCCCCCAAATCCTTCATGGCAAAACAACGACCAAGACAAGAGATAATTGTGGAAATAAGGAAGGGGAATTACCAGTTATAATAATGTCATCCACATACAAGAGGAGATAGAGAATATGAGACCCATGGCGATAAATAAATAAAGAATTATCTGACTTGCTACAAACAAAACCATGGGTTAACAAGAAACTACTAAACCGGTAAAACCAGGCTCTTGGAGCCTGCTTAAGACCATAGATTGCCTTCTTGAGCCTACAAATATGATTAGGAAATTGTGGATGTACAAACCCAGGAGGCTGACATCTAACTGACGAATATTCCACTGACACGAGACAACAAGAGATAAAACAATACGAACAGTGGTGGGTTTAACAACAGGACTAAAGGTTTCAGAAAAATCCACACCAGCTTGTTGAGTAAATCCATGTGCAACTAAGCGTGCTTTATAACGCTCAACAAACCCATCCGACTTAAATTTTGTTTTATAAATCTATTTAGACCCGACCACATTTTTACTAGTATTAAATGGAACTAGATCCTAAGTATGATTGTCAATTAAAGCATTAAACTCTTCTGCCATAGCCGCCCTCCATTTAGCATCTTTATTTGCCATAGAAAATCAAGAAGGATCACACGCCGAAACATCTGTTTTGAGAGTAAAAATATATTTGGGTTTAAAAATTCCCAATTTAGCACGAGTTTGCATAGGATGACAATTTGGCAGAGAAAGTGCAGGTGAAGAACGGGTTGAGGTTGGGCTAGGCTCATGCGGACTGGTCGGATGAGTGGAGGAGGATGATGTGGGTGAGGAACTTGGTGTGTCGGTCAGAACTGGGCTGTCGGTGGCCGTAGGGGTGATGGGAGTATGTGGTGAGGTGAAGTTGGGAGCAGACGGCTGAAACAAGGTGGGCTGGGTGCACAGGTTGGACTGCCGCAACGTTACAGGGGAGGATGATACGCTGGCGGCCGGCGGGTTGGGAGCATGGTGCTCATGCATGGTGACGGTATTAATGTCGGACACGTCATTGGTGGCTGTGGAAGAAGTTAAAGTAGAGTATGGAAAATAATTTTCAAAAAATCGCACATTCCGATTAATGTAAATCTTGTTAGTGAGAGGATTGAGACAACGATAACCTTTATATTCAGGGGCATATCCTAAGAAGACACATAAGGTGGATCTGGGAGAAAGTTTGTTGGCAGAAGTGGCATTAAAATTAGGAAAGCACGCACACCCAAATACACGCATAAAAGAGAAGTGAGAAGGATGGTGAAATAATTTTTCAAAAGGAGAAACGCCATTTAAATTTGGAGTAGGAAGCCTGTTAATAATAAATGTGGCGGTGAACACAGCATCTACCCAAAACTTAGCTGGCATGTTTGCTTCAAAAAACATAGTGCGAGTTAATTCAAGGAGATGTCTGTGTTTACCACAGCTACACCATTCTGCTCAGGGGTATCTGGGCATGACTTGCGAAATAAAATACCATTTTTGGTAAAAATATCACGCATTCCATGATTATCAAACTCACTCCCACCATCACTTTGAAAAAATTTAATTTTGGAGTCAAGCAAATTTTTCACCATTAATTTAAAGTGCTGAAAATGTGTTATGACTTCACTTTTATGGCGCATGGGATAGAGCCAAGTAAATCGTGAAAAATCGTCAATAAATAAGACATAATATTTATAGCCACTTGTAGAAAGAACAGGAGATTGCCAAACATCAGAATGAATTAAAAATAAAGGAGCAGCAGATTTATGCCACACTTCTTGAAAAGGTAATCGTTGAGACTTTCCTAACCGACAAGAAATACAATCATGAGAAAAACTAGAAATACTAGAAATAGTGCCAGATTTTTTTAATTGTTCTAAAATACGACTTCCACAGTGTCCCAATCGACGCTGCTAGATTGGGCCAGAAGCAACATGAGAGACTAGAGCCACTAGCGAGGAATGAGTGAGAGAAATAGGGTAAACGCCACCATTATTGGAAGCTTGGAGGAGCACCTTCCCCGAAATTGTGTCCTTAATACAGATAGAATTTTTATCAAAAATCACAAAACAATTATTATCAGCACATAATCGTTGAATAGACAACAAATTGTATTTAAGATTAGGTACATGATAAACAGATTTTAAGTGTAGGGGCCGAGGCAGAGTAGATAAATGCAATTCACCAACAGTCATAACAGGAAGACTAGAGCCATTAGCAACTGTAATTTTTAGTGGTCCAGAATAAATAGACTTATTTTGAAAAATACCTTCATTTGAGGTCATGTGAGCAGAAGCACCCGAGTCAGGATACCAGACAGCTGGAGTGGATTCACCTGTAGAGACAACCAAGGCAGGAGCCTGAGCCTGAACAAAACGAGAGGGACATGCAACAGCTGAATGACCTCGAGAATGACATATCTGACACACAACAGGTGGAGGAACTGAACCAAAACTATTATCAAAATACGGAGATCCTGCAGAAGCATAGTTAGTACAAGAAGTATAGGGAGCCGGAGTATAAAACGATGACTGAACTGAATTACAAATAACTGTACCCGGTCCTCACTAATGAAGCTGATTGGTTCCCCGACCGGACTGTGGCTGCTGGAGTTGCGGCTGGCCTGGATTGTCGTACGCAGGAGGCTGTCCATACGCATAGGCCTGCTGATTTCGACCTCTGCCGCGCCCTCGTCCACGACCGCCAAAGCGTCCGCCACGCCCTCCGCGTCCTGGGTTCTGCTGCGGGTTGCCAGAAGAAGAAGAGGAAGCCGCACCCCCTCCTGCCGAATTGGACGCAGCAAACGCAGGGGCATGAACTGAATTCTTCAAGGATTGTTGATAGCGGAGAGGGGCATCTTGATGGACTAACTTTGTGCTTAAGGAGTCAAACGTGAGGCCTTCTGGAAATAAGGAAAGGGGCCCCACTAGCGACTCATAACCCGGTCCCAATCCTATAAGGGTTTGTTCAATAAGATCGGCGTTAGAGACCGGAGAGTTAATTGCAGCTAAATTCTCAGCAATATTTTGAATCCCACGAATGTAGTCCTCCATGGACTGATTGTCCTTCTTCCGAGTGCGTGTAAGCATTTGTTTTAATTCCATGGAGCGTGCAAGACTGGCTGCCATAAATCGGGACTCCAAACATTGCCAGATTGCCAAAGAATTTTTCAAGGAATGTACCTCCATCAAGATATCGCGGGAGAGAGTTGCAAAGATCCACGCACGCACCGCTTGATCTAATTTGAGCCAATGATAATACTCAAGATTTGGGGACTGAGCCTGATATAAATCATACGTATACATTGGCGGGGCAGGTAGAGATCCATCAAGGAAGCCCAAAAGACCATTAGCTACCACAAAGGATTCAAACTGAGTGCGCCATGACAAATAATCTTCAACAACCATCAATTTAGAAGTAACAATTTGTGTAACCGAGGCCCCTGACGTGCACTTTGTCGTGAAATGCACTCAAAATAATTAATCAATACAACACTAATACGTAGTATAGTGAAGTAAGGTTCGTATCCACAGGGAAAGGAATATTTTTCTTTTATATGAATAGTAACAAGGGGGTTTTAAGTTTGATTTGATTTAATTTAATTAACACTAAGATGAACGACTTACATGAGTTTAATTTATAGAGATGAGGACTTGGTTTTGCTTTTATCCACTTAATGAAATGTTCGTCGATCCCGGTTATATCTTTAACTATCTTCCTCTCGAATACTCAATCGAGGAGTATATCCAGTTCATCGAGGGTAGTTATTAATAACGAGACGCGTTCATTAATAAAACTTACTACCGAGTTAATATAGAACAAGCGTCGTATATTAGCCCGATAGTAGCAATAAACTTAAGATGAAAACGATTGAGATTGATAACCTCAACACAAGCGGTTTATTGGTTTAATCAATATAATTAATTCCCCTTAGATTATTAACCATGAGACGCATGCATTAATAATCCAAGTTTTACTACCGTTGAAAGAACCGAATTAATAACAAGCGTATTATTCGATTGATTCTAGTAATAATTAATATATGAAACAAAACTAGTTGATCCTTTAAGTAATGCTCAAAATATTAATATGGAATATGAATAGGAAATAATTAATATTCAAGGAAGAAGATTAAAGAAAATAACTCACAACTTACAAATTCATTAAACTTCAAAGTAGCAAAACCAAGATGGAAGAGTTTAGCTCCTCATTTGGAGACTAAACATGAAGAAAATATAAAGAAAGAGCTTGTCTAAACTGAGCTAAGAAGTATATGTGAATTGGTTGTTTTTGTGGGAAGGAAAGGTGGGTATTTATAGGCTTTTGGAGCATGCAGGGGTGTGTACCCGATCGGGCATCAAGGGCACCCGATCGGGTACCTTTAGTGGCTTCCCGGAAGCTCGAAAACTTACCAAAAACACACAAAACCGTGGAAAGAAGGAGAGAGAAATGTCATAAATTTAATTTTTTGTATCTATATCTCTCATGGCACATGTGCACCGTGCACATTGTAACATTGGAGATGCTCTTACAGTGTGTACATATGTGAATTTTGAACAAGGTTTTATACATGCCTTTTTATAGTTTACATGACAAGCTAGACTAATTCCCGTATAACTTAGTGGGACTCTCATGTGCTGAGAACAGGCTTCTGTTTTGTAAACTTGAATCTCCCATTTTCTCATAATCAACTTCTTAATTTAGGCTACTATTCTCCTAATCACTCCAAACTTCGACCCAATCATCACAAGTATCTTTCCCTTACATATACACATTCTTCAAAGGGTCATAAATATAAGTTTTATATTTAAAGAGAGGTCAAGACTTTTGAAGTTTGGGATTAAAGTTCATTAACTTTGATGATTAATTTTTCATTAAATATATTATTTTGTAATATAACAAACTTACACATTGTTTTCATTTAAAATATTGAAATAATAAATTACCAGGTTTTTTAGTATTTTGTTGTATACTCCCTCCGTCCCGCAAAGAAATTCTCAGTTTGACCTACACACATATTAAGGAAATAAACTTACAGGGGGTAAATTTTACTGTTTTGACACTGTTTCGACACTGTTTGACACTGTTTTGCACTATTTTGATGTAGATAACTTCCCCATTTAAGGAAAGGGGAACTTCTTTTTTGGACTGCTAAAAAAGGAAAACGGGAATTTATTTGCAGGACGGAGGGAGTATATATAATATTGGTAAAACTTTTAAACTAGGAAGTTTAAAAGATTCTTAATGGATGAATTTAATGGTACATTTTATTGCTCATATCTATTAACCATTTCAAGTCGACCCTATACTCGATTTATGAAATTATTTAGAATAAGAAAGATCAAAAGTGATTGTATACACATATGTATCAATTTAAACAAAAGAGGAAGTAGTTTATTTACATGAAAAAATATCACACACAAATGCTTTTGTCAATTGGTTTAGATAAACTATTCCCTAAAAGTAGTGAAAGTGATGTTATTGAGGGGCACTATGACATTTTCTTCTTATGAAAATAAATCTCATACAATTTCAACATTTATGGTGGTAGCTATAGGAGCTTCAAAACGAATATAATCATACATGATTCCATTAAATGGACTTTGGCTCCTTGGTTGAGTTAAGAAAATTGTATTTTCTCCCGCAACAAGCAAACTTCCATCTATACTCAGACTATATAGCCAATACAGCCCATGTATTCCATGCCTAGCAATTGAGTTATCCTTCCCTATTAATCCGCTGCTAAAAAGAGGCGGATTGGCATTTGGATTATTAACTCTAACCTGCAAGCAAATCTCGCTTCAATTATTGGTAGTTACGAAAGTACACTACAAAAAAATCACGAGATTGGTACGGATTTGAAACGAATTTTTCGATAATTTTGTGCCAAATAGTTCGTGTCAAACTGTTTTTGACACGAATTTGGCATATCTCTGCTAAAATCCCTGCCAATTTTAGGAAATCCATGCAAAAAACGTAACCTCTGCCAATCCCGTGTTTTTTGTAGTGGTACTGTCATCATGAAACGTAGGATATTAAGAAATGTGTTGTGCGTACAACAACAACATGTGATTAAGCCTTAGTCCTATTGTCATCATGAAACGTAGGATATTAAGAATTTAGGATCGACTAACATGAATAAAAATATGAAATCATAAATAGAGACTCGAGAGACAAACAAAAACAGATCAATCCTCCATAGGTATATTCGACCTCTGCTTCGCTTTCTCTAAAATCATATTCTCATCGAAGCAAGGAACTCAAGAAGTCCCATGTCTCAAAAAGGATATACTTACATGCTGGATCAACATGATTACATACATTGACGTATAAAATTTCAAAGTAATTTTCATAACCTAACATTTTGTCTTGAGTATATATTACCTGTAACTCAGCGTATGTTGCAGATGCAATTGCAATACGCAACATGTAGATGCCATCAAGATGTAAGTCAAGTATAAATTTGATTTGCCATGTTGTTCCTTGATATGTATTGTCCTCTTTTTTTCTAAAAAAAATAAATGAAATGTGAGAATAAGAACAAAATACACACTTAAATGTTTTAATGATAAAATGACTATTAAATGTTGATCTTATGGGCCATGTACATTAAGATTGGAGTACTCATAGTAGCAAATGAGAAATGTGAAACTTTTCTCTCGTAAAAATGAAATAAAAATAACTTACATAATAATCACTTTAAAATTGATTCCCTACATACCTTGTGACTTGGGCATAAAACCAATCTTTTGTATAGTCACTCTCACCTACTACGTATACGAGGTCTCCATTCGGATACAATTCTGAATACCTTTCCCAAAGTCCATACTGCCTGAATCTATGATAGAAATGTTAAATGAAAACATTTATTTTCTACACTTTGAGACATAATAATGTTCACAACACACAATAAAGAAAAGTGCGAGTACTCATATTATGAACACAACATTCCAATGATAAATCTAAAAACATTGTGGCTTTTAGGGCCGAATTAAGCTACAAGTTAAAGCTCTCGCATGGTTAGCGAAATGATTTGCTCAGTGCATGGTGATCGTTTCTATGTCTTGTCAGAGAGTGAGAAGACCTTCGAGTCTAAGAGGAAAATAGGGATTGGATCATTTGGGTGTGAGTCTAAAATACTTTTTTATTTTTATTTTGTGATATTAATATAGGGATTTCCTTGAAAAGCTACTCCGTATATCATTGATCTTATATGAGTTTAAAAGTCTTAAAAGGTTTTAAGATAGGATAAAAAAGAGTAAATTCCCTAAATGGGACTAAAACAATAAGAAAATGCAAAACTAAGACTACCATATTTTTTGGACTTTTTTAGGATTAAAATATTGTAACTTGACAAAATCAACCCTTAATGTGAAAACTTCAGGTCTGTGTAGCAGCAACCCTCCAGACTCTAGTGATGATGCCGTAGTCATCTTTCTGCAACGGTGCCGCAGCCATCCTCCACGAACTACTATAGTAATCACCGCCCTTCATCCATACCACCGCCATAACCGACCGTCATCCTCCGTCAAAGCCATCGCTATCCGGTAAGTCCTTGCAACTTCCAGCTAGAATGTCACTTGATATATGAATAATGACATGGTAATGACATTTTCGTATCGAAACATGACATTATTTTGAAAATATTATAATCGAAAATCTAAAATATGAGGAAAAAATGAAAAACGTGAAAATTTGTCATCATTTTGCAAAAAGGTCAAAATGAGATTGCCATCTTGATAAACATACATCCATAAAAGTGGCATTTTCTTTAAATAATTAATAATTTTGACATTCTCATATTTGAAAGTGGCATTTTCGTGAGATTTACGATCACCTTTTCTTAGTACATAGGGCATTCAAATCCTGAAATTATAAAAATCAAACAAAATTGGAAAACAAAAATTCAAATTCAAATATATCCGATCATGGTGATTCGTTGAAACTCACTTTTCATCTAAAATTTTAGATCAAAAGTAGTATTTTAATTTTTAATAGAACAAAATTGAAGAAATTAAAATACAGAGGACCTAGAAGAAGATAAGAAGAGGAGGAAGAAGAAAAGAAGAAAAAGGAGGAGGAGAGATATGAATCAATTACTTGTTATTCACTTGGCGGTCCAGGAATCAGCGAAGTCAAACGGCGAGTCGTCGACGATGAAAGAAATACAAGCGAAGCGAGGCGGTGACGGTGGGAGCAAATCCAATGAAGAAATCACACTGGCTAGAGAGATGCTCTAGTGTGCACTTGAGCTTAGATGATGGACTTGAGCTTCGATGACGGAGGAATACTAGGCACATAACTAGGATTGAGGATTTAATTATGTAAAGGTATAATGATAATGTTTAGTCCTATTTAGGACATATAAAACATGATGTCCTACTTTTGAACCATAATTTAATTCAATTTAGGGTAATTCCTATTTTAAAAACTATATCATTGATCTTATATGAGTTTAAAAGTCTTAAAAGGTTTTAAGATAAAATAAAACAATAAAGGATTATGAAAAGATTTGAACCCGAGTGATGTGGACGGTCCACTAATTACATACACACGTCCATTGGACTTTTTCAACTTTCCCTTTTTGTCTGTCTCCAAAAAATTTGTCACTTTTCTATTAAAGCAATTATATATTTTGTTGTTATGCACATTTCTCCCATCTACACAAATCGCAGCCACACATCTTTTACTTTCCTTATTTCTCACCTACTTCAAGCTTGACAATATTGCGGATTAACAAGAAATGCATGCAATAGGATGCTTGTAATAATGATTAGAAGTTGAGTAGTAGTCTAACCTATCTGGATGGTCGACATAAAGCTTGTTAATATACTTTGGATTGGGATTAGGAATATAGAACTCAACAGCACTCCGATCAGGAATACCTATCTCCCATAGTGTTGGTCCATCCCTTGGGGGCTCATAAACCATTTCACCCATATCGCCTACAAAACCTGAAGTTATGTTTATGACTGATTCATTTCGATAATCTCCAACAAATCCAGGGACCCAAGCATAAATGTTGTAGTTTCCTGGGCGTATATGGTTGATGCAGAAATAACCCTCCTCATTTGCAATGGTCCAGAATTGATAGTCCTGATGTTAAAAACCATCATTGTCACATTGTGCTGTTTTACAGCAGCTATATGGTTGATTGCTATTTTTCAGTTTAAAGTTCAATCCCAGTTAAATAATAAAGTATTTAAAAACACTGCATTTTTCATATTCATTTTGGCGCAAAGTTTTTCAAAAATTTATTTAACCGACTTTCAGATTGAATTTTAAGTTGAAATTCTGTGGAAATAATGTACTTTTCATGATGACATGCTCACAAAATTTTACCTGCGCTTAAATAAGTGTGGGGGTTGAGATTTAGAAAGTGATAAGTGTGGCTAAATCGTTACTAAAAACAAAGGCCGAACAGAGGACCATATATAATTAAGCTAATTAAGTGTAGAAATTAGAATAAATAAGAAGATGATGAAAATTATCTACACACCTTGCATTCTCTTTGCCAGGATCCAACATTTCCTGTTGGAGCGAGGCCAATATAAGCGCCATTAGCTGGAATGTGATCACTAGAGATATACCTATATATCCCACACAATTTAATTGCTTTAATTTGATATCATATTTGTCATTTAATTTTGAGAATAAATTTTGTTTTGGAATATCTATATGTGACTTTTTCAATTCCAAGAAAACTATATACTATGTATTTCTTATCTAAATTGAGAATGAATCCTATAAAAAAATCTTCTCAAATTGAACCAAAAGTTGATACTGAATGACATGATTATATTCTTTTTTCAAAATGCAGGCAAATATGATATGAGAAAAATCTAGTACGAAAGATAGATAAAAATTAATGGGCCGGAGTTGAATAGTATATTATTAGAATATAAGAATTTCAAACATTTTTTTCAAACATATATAGCTATCAATTGAATATTACTACGTGTCTATATGTATATTATTAGAATATAAGAATATTTACTTGTCGCTAACTAATAGCTTGCCACTGATATTCCCACGTTGATTAGACGATAAGTAATCCTCCGAAGCTGGAAAACTGTATGGCCAACTTTGGACTTCAACCTTCATCTGCATGCATGCACATCAATTATGAGAAATGGTGCCAAATAGGACCTTAAGTTTCCATATATACTTAAATAGGACCTTGATTTTTTTAACTCTTAAATAAGACTTAATTTTTTTCGTGTTTCAGGTTTGCCCCTAAATCTATTGCGCCTTATTCCCTTTCTCTTCTCTGTCGACAAAAGCACCCATACTTATTTTTCATAGGCGACCTGGTGTAGAAGACCACAAGGGCATCGGTCTCGCTGTTGATCGGAAGACAGCCCGTTGTCGTTGTTGGTCTCGCCTTTGCAGGGGAAGTGATTCACAGTTTCCGATCTGCAAGTTGTCCCTATTGATAAACACGAGGAAGAAGCTGAACAGTAAAAATTGACCGGATCTTTTCCGCGATATTTCCCTCCCTCTTTTCGGTGGCCATTGTATTAACGTCATCTGCAACGCCGACAGATTCTCCGAGTGGCCGGATCGTCCATGGTTCAGCAGTCTCTAGATTGCTTTCCCCACATATATACATAATGATGTACGGACTGATTTATTGATACTTTGAATATGTGTGTGTGTATGTTGGAAATTTTTTCTAACAGTGTATATGTGAAAGAAGTCAGGCGGAAGAACTTTGATTAAGTGGCCATGGTTTTGGAGAAGAAAGAGGGTTGGATGATTGCGGTATATTCTGAAATGGTGCAACAGAGGGATGACCGTATGAGAGAGGGGCATTTTAGGTTTAATTGAAATATGTAATCTAATACAGTAAAAGGTAGAAGCAGATAAAAGCATCTAATGGATGCTTTCATCAAAATTATAGTTTTGGCATTAGTTTTAACAATTTCATTTTCATAATGATTGAAATTCTTATGACATTGTCATTGACATTCTTTATGACATTCTTATGACAATGTTTTGACATTCTTTATGACATTATCATTCACATTTTTATGGCATTTTATGTCAGTGTCATTGACATTGTCATCGTGATTAATTGACATTACAACATTTTTTCGACGTTGTGATTTTTTTAATAAAATTAACATTGTCATAAAAGCTATTGACATTGACATAATTACAATGTCATTTTATAGCATGGACAATGACATTGCCATTGTGACATTTTCTTAACTCATTGACATTTTATACATTGACATTTTTATGGCATTGTCATTGACATTGTCATTGTGTCAAGATTTTTCATTGTAATTCCAGTGTAATAGTTTTTTTAATTAAACTGATCTTGGCACCAACATTACTTTTTAATATTGGGACATTTTTTGCAACCTTGATATGATTCTAAAATTATGACATTGGTATGTCATTATCATTGATATTTATTTTTTGACATTGTTATTGTCAAATGTGACATTTTTCGAACATTACGATGTTTTTCACTTTATTTTGATAATGTTTAAAATATTGTGACATACATATATTGTCATTATTTCACCATTTTAACATGTTTTTGAAGTCTCAAATTTAAAAGCTGGATAAGGTTGTAAAAGCTAATAATATAGACACAGGTTTCATGATTTTCCGTACTATTAGCTGTCCATCTTTAATTCATAACAGTACAACTTGAATTTTCAGCAGCAATCCCACAAACAATTCCCAAAAGAACCAAATTGCAGCAATCCGATCAAACTACTCTCAAAAGACCCAAATTGAACATGGCCCTCTGCAATTCCAAAGAATAATGGAATGAGGATGAAGCTCATAACTAAAGCTGTCCATCTTTAGTTAACGAACACCGCCCATCCAACATGCTAAGAAATCTACCTGAAGCGTTGCGGTTGCTCTGCAAAACTGCCGGCAGAAGATTTCGCTACCTTAACTCTGCCCTCCCATCACACAAACTTCTCGTGCCTCTCTCATCTTCCCTCCCTCCTCCGTCACGATGTCCGTTATTTCGCCCCCTCAATCGTACTTGCTCCATCTCTCACCTCTCCCTCCTGCTCGACGACGACATCGCCCTTATCTAATGAGTGAGCGAATTTTGCGGGGCGATGACCGATTGTCCGCAGAGTCAGAGAGTGTCCGCTAGTGGTGATCCTGAGCGTCGGCGGTGGGTGCCGATCTGTTAGGGTGGGTCGCTGAATGCCACACTCAAGGACTTCATCCTCACTCGTCTGATTGGAGCGGGGATATTTTTGTCCCTTCAATCACAAATTAGTCCTATTTAAGAGTTTAAAAGTTCTAGGTCCTATTTAGATACCATCGGTATGTTTTAGTCCTATACATGTCTTTTCCCTAATATAATTCTTTTTTTTGTTTCAGAATAATGCGGAGTAATAGATTAATAGGCATATCATGATGAATAATTAATGAGCATTGATCTAGTACGTACTATATACTACCTCCGTCCTCCGATTAAGTTCCTAGTTCCACTTTTCCGACTTGTCAAACTTTAGAAACTTTAACCGCTAATATAATTATTCAAAATTTACATTGTTTGGCACACGAAGTTAATTTTATATACTTCATTTCAATATATTTTATTCAAATGTTAATTCATTATAGGTTTATACGTTTAGTTTTTTTAGATATTTAGGGTCAAATTTCCTCTTAGAAGACCGTAAAAGTCAAACTAGGAGTTTAATAATACGAACCTGCTCTTTGGCATCGTCCCAAAGTGTGAATGCATCTTCATCAACTTTTATTGTCGCGTTGAGATAAACAAAAACCGGACCAAAAACTTTCTTCCATGGCTCTCCTTTCTCAAATTTTGGAGTTAGCTCCTCACCACTGTAATGAGAGCTCAAAAACATCTAACCAAATGGGAGGGGATGAAAGGGAATGCTATTAGTAATAGATTGGGACTTAATGGTTGAATTGTTTGATTGTCCGATTCTGCTGAAATTTATGAAGTTTTGGTTGAAATGGCTGATTTTGCAGATTTATGGATAATTATACTCCCTCCGTGTGTCCCACAATAATTGTCTCATTTTTTCTTTTCCGTCCGTTCGACTCAATTTGTCGCATACCATATTTGATACAATTTGTATACCGTGGTACCGGCGCATAATGAGCACCATGCTCCCAGTCTTAAAACACGGATGAACAGTACCCGTGAATGAACAGTACCCGCGGATGACAGTTTTTTTTGTTTCAATAGCTTGATTGTGTAACTCCCGTTTAAAGAAATGTAATCCACGTTGATAGGAAATGTAACTTGAATCAAGTTGAAATGTAAATTGTCTAAAACGAAACATAAGGAAAAAACATTTATTTCAATGTAAACAATGAAAAATTAATCCTAATTGCCCAATTACTTTTTGTAAATAATGAATGTGTTTTATTTTAAATATTAGGGCTATAAAAATGATATAGTCAAAAAATCATTTTTTATCACTAGCACGAGTTTATTTAGTGATTTAATTCGTGTACATTAAAATGTAACTCATGTATAAATTGTTGGGAATATTTTATAGTGTCCAATCTAATTAAATATCTTTGTATTTGTGTAGTTATTAATTAAATGTGTAATATGGACCACAAATGTATATCAGCCAATTAGCTTGTTTGTAATCCATAAGTTAGTCAATTTCTCCTATAAAAGGAAGCTAACTTATGGAAAATCTAAGGCTTTGAGAGAATAAAGGTGAGATAGAGAGTAGGGGTTGCCGCTGCTCTCTCTCTTGAGGGAGGGGAGCGACCAGTTCACGGTATACCAGATTAGGTTTTCATCTCATATCTTTCTATCTGCTTCTTTTTTAATTTATCTGCTATGGTTGCTTGTTTGTTAAAGAATCAGGGACTATCCTAAACATGTAACTCGCTCATAAGAAGATGTAATTTCATTTAATATCAAATATAATATAAAAAATGAAAGCAAAGAGTTTAATTGTTCAATTAATTTACGTAAAATGTTTTCCATAAAATGTTTTAAATAAAAACCATTTTTTTGCCAAAAAAAAGCATTTTTTTTTGGCAAAAGAAAAGACTATTTTGTTTCAATAGCATAGTTTTATTTTGTAATGTAACTTGTGTTATGGAAAATGTACTTCGTGTTGATGAAAAATCTAACTTAGGTGTATGCAAAATGTAACTTGTTGAGACAAATCCAAATGTAACTTGCATATAGGAAGATATAACTCACGCATTAATAGATGTAACTCACGCACACAAAAGCGTAACTCCATATATTATCAAATGTAATTCGAGAAATTGCCTATATATAAACATAACTTAGACATGTAGAAATGTACACCACGCATATTTTATCAAATGTAAATTGAAATAATCAAATTTAATGTCTTAAAAGCACTAAAAACATATAAAAGAGAGGAAATATATTATAGAAAAAATATATTACAAAGAAAATGTATAACACAAAAAAATATTATAGAAATAAAAATAGTGTAGAATGTGAAATGTATAAACTTATTCTATTTATATTAATATTACAAAAAAGTGTATGATACAAAACAAAATATATAATACAAAAGGATATTACAGAAATAAAAATAATGTATGAATGTGAAATATAATATACTTATTTTATTTAGACTAATATTTACTTGTTATGAATTGATAATAAAAAAATAGATTGGAAGATAAAGAAAAGTAAAATTGTAATTACATTTTTTGTATTTGATGGAGAAGAAAAAAGAATTGTAGAAAAAGAAAATAAGAAAAAAGAAACAAAGAGGAAAACAAATGCTCAAAGGGTTAGTGGGATTGATGGAATTAATGGAATTGGTGAGATTGCTCAAAGAGAATACGGATATGCAGAGAAATAAGTGATTAGGGGGATTGGCATACCATGCACATGGCCGATCTCATGGTATAATTTACCTATTTGATAATATTTGTGTTGCTCTAATTAATTCTTACTTTATTCTCACTTTATCAATTCATTATCAACCTCAGAACTTTACTTTTCTTAAAAATCGCTCCACTCTCCTTTGTCCCAATTTTAGGGGAATGTAGGTCGTACTACATATTTAAAATATATGTTATAATAAAATAAAATAAAAATTATATGAAAAATGGCTAAAATTGTCCTCTACAGTAGCTTCAGTCAATTCATTATTCAGCCATAACAGAAACTTCAACCTTACTTATTTTGATGATTACACAATTCAACGTGCGGAATAAGAAGTTATGCGTTCGGTGAAAAAATTGGTTGATAAAGATGATAAACTGAAAAACAGGGTTACCAAACAAGCTCTAAATTAGCTAATGCTATCCTTCTTTCTTTAATAATTGCAACAATTTGACTTTCACATTTGCCAACACACAACTTTGAATGTAATTATATTTAATTATGTATTAGTAAACATTATAAAATGTCAATATTTTGGAAATTCATATTAATATAAATTTAATAACATTTTATACATAATAATATGATTATATATATGTGTGTGTGTGTAGAAAATCATGATCAACATAAGGTGTTTGAATAGTACAAAACCCACAATGTTACAATTATTAAAGAAAGGAGAACCCTCAAATGAAAAATATATTTTGAAATCTTACCCTTTTACTATATTTTACGGAGTAATATAACTTTTTGAATATCTAACCAAATGGGAGTGCACTAATTATTTTAGATAATTCAAACAATAATGAATAATTAAAGGTAAATTTTATAGTACTCTCAAGGTATAATACATTTTTAAGTGGACCAATTAAAATATTACAATTGATTTATTTAAATATATTAATGATGGAACGATGATTTGGACTAATCAAATGAACGCTAAACCTTAGATACAATACTCCCAAATGGGACCCACATGGGATGTGAGGTAGTAAGGAGAGGGTGCTTACTGCTAAGGTAGTAGGGCCCACATGGGATGTGAGGTTTTGTTTGACGGGCCCGCCAGATCGGAACTCATTGCTAGACGTGATCAACCAAAAGCCTACAAGTGGAGGAGGGTTGGTTGATACCCATCCGTGGACCTTGTTATCCTTGTTATCACATGAATACTGGTACTTGTCATCAACCTGCACGTGCCTTAAATTACTACGTATTATTTATTAAGTGCATAACATAGTTTTACTCTTATCCGAGAGGTGTTTGAAGTTAATTCTGCTTCTGTTTCTTTTTTAAAAGAAGAAACACGATGATAATAAGTTTTTCAGAAGCTGATCTTTTGCAGCTTCTAAAACTGCTTCTAGGAGCAATATCTGCTTCTGCTCTTTGAATAAGTAGAATCAATTTTAAGAAGTATATCCAAACACCTCCTAAACGTGTACTCAACTTCTACTTTGCATTTCTTTTCAAAAAAATGAAAAAGTGGTATTGTTTAAAAATAATCATTTACTACCTAAATTTCGAATTGTGCGTGTGATAAGCACGATAGTTACCTATTTTTACATAGGTGATTATATTTATCTTACAAAAATATAAAGATAAAACAGATAAAAATCCCAAAATGAGCAGAGAATGTGAAGAACGGCTAGAAGCAACAAATATGGGGTCAAAAGTAAAAAAAAAAATTGTACATAGTGAAATCGTAGCAACCGGTGATGGTCATGCCACAACCGGTGCCGGGGGATTTTTGTGAGCGGAAGGGGCCTGTAATCACCCAGAGCCGGTCAAACGAAGTAACCAGCGAAAAATCAGTCTAACCGACACCGGTCACTTGACCAACCGGTATTGGTCGCCCCGTTTACCTGCAAAGAACATATGTAACCGGCGCCGGTCAGTCTACAATCGGCCCCAGTGGGTCGAAATCTGCACAAGAACACAATGACATTCAACCATATTTTGACGGGAAAACTTCATCTTCCTTATGATTTGATCAAGTATTTCTTCGATGCCTGATTGTTGGACTTGAGACTAAAATATGTCATTTTTTAGCCTATATAAAGCCCTCAATTCATCAAACAAGATCATCAATCCATCCTTGCACCTTAACTTTCAGTTCTTATACTTTATTTTTGCATTCTCCTGAAGAGTTGGAGAAGAAGCTATTTCTCTCCTCTGCAATTGGCTCTAGGTAATATTTCTTGTATGTTATTGTATTTCCTTTATCTTAGTTACACTTTTGTAATTAATATGAGCTCAAGAGGCTAAATTTTTAGCTAAGGCTAGGGATGAACCTCTGCGCATACTAGGCATTTGATAAAAATTCTCAACCAATAAATTGTGATGTATCCTTTATAATTTAATTGTGTTTTACTATGGTGATCAACATGGAAGTATATTAAGTTTAATTTATGCTTGCAATGAAAAGATTGAGGAATAAACTATGAACTTAAAGGATAAACATATATAGAACCGAGAATAGATATATATCCGGTCATATATGATACATGTGTGATGTCTTGATAATTAACGGGGTTTTCGGTAGATGAATGTGAGTCGTAACAGGACTTACACGTAACGAAAAACATGCTCTCACTGCCTTAACCGGAGTAGGGAATATATTAGCGAGATCGTATTTATAATTGTTGGCAAAAAACTTGAATCAATACTAGTTAAAAGTGTTTAGGCGATTCCCGAAACCTTAGTTGTTGTTATCAATTGTTTTAAATTCAATATATTTAAAGTTATACTTCTGAAATCAAAGTGAAAACTAAATCCATTTTTCTCATATCAAATATAGATCAAAATCTCAGAACTTTACTCATTTCTATATTTAAAGTTTTTTACTCTCGGACTAAAATTAAACAATGTTTCTCTGTTGATTCGACCCGGTATTTTAGCACTTGAAAGTTTAGCCCGGTCAGCGTGCTTGCTTGGGCCATAACAAAAATGAAGGTGAAAATAAACAAATGGATAACAATCCATAGAGGAAGCAAAGTTATATGAGTTGAAGGGGTAGCTAGATCATGTACGTGGGTACCTCTCCTTTAAGCTCAGGCTCAATAGGATTGACGAGTAGGACTGCTTCTGGGTAGGCAAGTGCTTGTCCTCTTCCCGGCAATCGATCATCCGGCAGGGGCATTGATCTTTGCCTATTGTCAGCCATAGCCATGTACTGAAACCTATAGAATTCAACAATGGTCACCGATAAAATAAAATATTAATGATAAAAATAAGAACTGATGTTAAGAGAACTATATTTCATGTAGAAGAAATAGTACTTCACATTTGCTTATTTGTTTCCGTCACATGCATCTTACATATATACTATAAATGGTGGGTGTAGATAATAAAGAGGGAATAATAGAGGGCCATGCACATCGTGTAACCCATACACACACATCATGCAACCCACACACACATGCTACGTACTAGGGTAACATTATACATTATAATAATAGAAAAAATACGGGTCCCAAAATTCTCAAGGTGGAGTGTGAAGAACACCCAACTTGCTCCACAAAAATTGGAAACGATCAGTGCCAAGCACTTTGGTGAAAATGGCGGCAACCTGGTTTGTCATAGAGATACGACATGGATGAATCTCACCATTGGCAACACATTCTCGAACAAAATAATAATCCATTTCCTTGTGTTTGGTACGTTCACTAAAAACGAGGTTAAGCGCAATATGTCGTGATGTTTTATTGTCACAAAAAAGAAATGTGGGACTAGTCTGATGAATTGTTAATTCATGAAGTAACCATCTCAAACATAAGATTTCACTGACCGTAAAAGCCATGACACAGTATTTTGCCTCTACGGAAGACCGAGAAACAACAAATTGTTTCTTCGTTCTCTAAGAGATTAGTGAACCACCAAGAGCGATGAAGTATCCAGTGCCAGAGTGATGGGTGTAAGAGCATCATGCCTAATCCGCATCACAATAACCTTTTAAAGAGAAATCAGTGTCTCTAGATAAGAAAATTCCATGTCCCGAGGTTTGTTTTAAATAGTGAATGACACACAGTGCAACATCAAAATGAGACTGGCACGGCTGACTGAGAAATTGGCTAAGCTGGTAAGCGGAGAAGACAATGTCAGGACGAGTGACGGTAAGGTACAACAAACACCCAATCAAGCGACGATATGAGGAAGCATATGCAGGCGGACCATCATGATTTGGTCGAAGTTTCAAATATTGTTCCATGAGAAATTGACTAGGGCGAGTGGCTAGGAGACCATTTTCTTCTAGGATGTCAAATGTATATATGCGTTGACTTAGCACAAATCCCTTGAGAGAACGAGCCACCTCGACTCCAAGGAAATATTTCAATGTACTCAAGTCTTTGATGCTACATTTATCATTCAAGTACCCCTTGATTCTGTTGATATGAGATGCATCATTTCTGGCTAGGATGACATTATTGACATATATGAGTGAAAATGTGTGGTTCTGACCTTGCTTGAAAATGAACAAGGAATGATCCGCACGCGATTGGTGAAATCCAACTTCCTGAAGTGATTGAGTAAACTTGTGATACCAATTACGAGACGCTTGGTGTAGGCCATAAAGGGATTTTTGTAACTTGCAAACACGGGTGTCACCCTTTTTGGTAAATTCTTAAGGCACACGTATGTAAACATCTTCTGAAAGGTCTCCATGGAGAAAAGAATTGTTAACATCTAATTGATGTACCTCCCAATTACGTTTGGCTTCAACAACCAAAAAACACCATATTGGGATGAGCTTGGTGACTAGGGCAAATGTCTCGTGAAAGTCAATCCATTCAACTTGCGTGAAGCCTTTTGGTACCAACTTTGCCTTGTACTTGTCCACATTGCCGTTTGGTTGATATTTTATTTTATAGGCCCATTTAAAGTCTACCTCTTTCTTCCCTAGCAGCAGCTGAACCAAGGTCCATGTACCATTTTCTTCTAAATCATGAATCTCTTTTTTCATACCCTCCTGCCACTTTGGATCTAGAATGGTATGTGAAAATTGTTTTGGCTCATCACGTGATGTAATGGGTAACATAAATGCTTTTTGTTTATTAGAAAACATCCCGTAAGCGATAAAATTAGAAATTGGATATACTATCAAGTCATCCTGATTTGAGGTTGTATGTGACACCGCACCCGGTGAGGTCTGAGGCATGACATTGTATGTTCCAAAAAGGATGGCAGGTCAACATCAAATAGATGCTTAGGTAGCCGTGAACTCTACCACCCCTTCTTATTTCACCCACGACCTATGAAGTTTGATTGGTTAGATCAAGTGAACCCTTCTTAATTGAGATTCTAGATCTTGTTTCTCTTCACAATCACCTGGAGGTGCATGCGGTTCAACGGGTAAGTTGTGATGAAGGAGAGGCCTTACATCTACGCTCGCACCTTCTCTACGTGTGTCGCTGAGTACAAGAGTGCAGTTGTCCTTTGCTCAAATAGAGGTTCCAGAATGGTCCCACGACATGTAGACAGAATTGCGAAATTCATGTGGAAGTAGGTGTGCCTAAGGTCGCTACTTGGGTCCATGCTAGGGTTGGACTCGGGCCGGGTCGGGCCCGGGCCGGCGGTCCTATATAGCTGGACCCGGGACCGGCCCGGGTAGCCACCGGGTCCGGTCCGGGCCGGACCGGGCCTCGGGTTTGGTTAATTTTTTTTTTTTGCTTAGCTACCCATCCCTGACCCCCCCTCACCCCCACCCCCCAAACCCCTCCTAAACATCAAGCCCAACCCGGTGGAGCCCAAACAAATGAAAAAAACCAAAAATAAAAATAAATTTGGCCCGAACCAGGCCCGGGCCCGGCCTTGTTATGGGTGACCCGAGCCCGGACCGGAAACCCACCGGGTCGGGCCTACCCGGACCGGTCACTGACCGGGCCACCGGTTCGGGCCGGGCCGGTTCCGGGTCGGGCCACCCGGCCCGAGTCCATCCCTAGTCCATGCGAGTACTCAGCAGGTCGGTAGTCGCAGATGATGTCCAGGTTTTCGATTTCAACTGGGTTTACTGAAGGTTGATTTTCAGCAGGTCCTCTGCTGTTTAGCAATGAAATACTTCACTGCTACAGGGAAGGCTGGGACGCTAGGCTTCAAATACTCTGTAGGCCTTTTGACCGTATGGATATCCAAGAAATACACAAGGACTCCCCCTTTCACCAAATTTATCCTTGCGTTTGTTGTTGTGTGCATATACCAAGCACCCAAAACGCGCAAATGTTCATAGTTAGGTTCCTTCCCAAATAACATTTCATAAGGGCTTTCATTTGAAATAATGGGTGATAATAGCCAATTGATAATATACACGCGAGTAAGGATGCATTCTCCTCAAAAATCAATAGGTAATTCGGACTGAAAACGGAGAGCCCGAGTGACCTCCAAAATATGTCAATGCTTACACTCCAGAACTCCATTTTGGTGGAAGGTATCCGTGCATGACATTTCCAAAATAATACCACAACGTGCATAATATTAAAATTTTGGTTCGAAATTCCAATCCATTATCTCAATGTATGTGTTTGACACGTTTCTCAAATTGAGTTTCTACCAAATCGCAAAACTATATCTATTTTTGACAAACTTTAGATTTATTCTTCATTAGATAAACTCAAACACCTCTAGTGAAGTCATCAACGATGGATAGGAAATAGCGTGCTCATGAGGTGGAGTCACACCTATAACTTCCCCACATATCACAAAGTATTAATTCAAAGGAACTTGATGTGTTGTAACTTTCCACTTGATGCATGACCTAGACGTCAATGCCATAAATCAAAATCAAAGGAAGCCATCATTACCATCCCTTCCCCTTGGGGTGGTTCTAGATAGTACATGCCATTGCGGAATCTACCCTTACCAATTTGGGGGAAAAATGTGAACGTGCAATTTAGATCACTTGTGAGCCGACTCGCGGAAAGCAAATTGCACTGAAAATGTGTGAGATAAAGAACATGTTGAAGATAAAATCCATTTGGCAGATGTAGGCTACCAATGACAGAAGCTGGAACTAATTCGCCGTAAGGGATTCTCACTAATTAAGACGGATGATGATTTACATGGTTTAGAGGCGCTACTTGTAGTTAAAAAAGTGCCACATGTGTCGTCATTTTGTTTTAAAAAATATTGGAGGTGCTTGTTCCATCACCCGCCCCCCACTCTACCGCCTCATTTTTCAACCACTTCAACCCATCTCTCTCTCTCTCTCTCTCTCTCTCTCTCTCTCTCTCACCTGTTCGTCTCCTTCATCTTGTCGTAATCACTTCTCTTCTCCTTCTGTAACCGCCAAATCATCCATCGATTGTTTCTTCCTTTAATTTTTTCATACTTCATGCAACCCCCTTCACCCCTTCCTTCATTTGCGAGACGACGAACATTCATCCCGTCGGATGAACCCTAATCTCCTGCAAACCATGAAATCCTTTTCAATTTTAGATGCTAAATAATCACTCGATTCACATATCGAACATGCAACCCCATGCGAAGCTAAATCAGACCCAGATCTAAAATACTCCGAGCTTTTCAGAGTTCACTTCGGTGATACTAGTTCGGAAGAAACGGATCCGTATTGGAAAATCCGCAAGAGGTATGAGGACAACCTCGTTAGTGATACGTTATACGTACATTGCGGGTAAATGTGATGTTCTCACGTTAAACATGATACTCATTTGATCCTAAATCTACATGTGTGTGTATGTGCATGCATGCCATCGATCGTCATATATTCATATCTGTAAATCTTCTTACTTGTCTTTCCGGAGTTTGAATGCTATTCTGGTCTCACCAATGGAAAAGGCTGGCCAATCGGGCGAACCAACATGCTCGTAAATCGCATAGGAGTAGAAACCAGATGAGCCACGAAGCAAAATAAACCTACATAATCAGTGTGTACATAATTATTTTTAACAATTACTCGATTGTATTTGTTATTTAATAATCACAACAAAAGAGACCACATATCATATATATGCACCTTTTATCGATGTTTAGTGGAACAAAGCCCTGGAGGGTGGGATCCCATGGCCTCGAGAATGATACCTCCACTTGCTCTTCTGTTTCTATTATGATGCTAAAATTTGTTGCTTTAATCCTACACAATTGCCATGTAAAATATTATTACTATTATGACTTCGATCAGGTTTATTAAAATGTGTTAAAATCTAAAATCTCAACTTCATAATTAAGATTTTAGTAACATAGACTTTATATACAAGTTTCCGTTTTTAATCTTTTTATATGTGTAAAACGAAATAACTTTTTTCCTTGTAAGACGGCATCAGAGAATATGTGTGAAACATCTTAATTAATTAAATTTCATATGCTAATATATTGAATGATAATAAACACTCTGTAGTTTAATACTCCATCCGTATCGATTTACTTGTCTCGCTTTCCTTTTCGGGACGTAAAAAAAATGTCTCATTTCTGTTTTTAGACATGGACCCCATGCCACCACCTTTTAACCTCCTATCATTAAATATTTAGTACCTGTTTACTGATAGAGATATTTTCCTGTTTTCTACTTCTGTTTTTTGTTCTCCAATTTTCTGTTTTTATTTTTCAATTTTTCTATCTCCAGTTTTCTGTTTCTATTTTCTAGTTTTCCATTTTCAAATCTGAAAACATGTTCATCAATTTTTTCACCCAGTTTTGTGATCATCCACAAGACTGACACTTTACTTCACAGGTTACTAAATGGTACTTATTAAGACTCACATTAATAAGCGACACATAAAATAAGCAATGTTATAAGATAATGTTTACTTCAAAAGGTTTAAAACACCGTTTAACATTAAAATGTCCAAAATAACCCTATACATATATAGACACACAAACATTCATGAACACAAATATATAATATATATAATATGTGGGGTCGATCACCTCGTATGTGTACCCATACTCCTAACCCCTACCCTGCCCCTATACCTCGTACCCCCACCCTACACCCTACACTGAATTCGACACCCTTGACCCCAACCCATACCCTTACCACAATCTTACACTCTACCCATACTCCCCTAAAACCCCTTCATACCCACCCATACCTACTTGTAGGGTAGGGAAGGAAGGTATGGGTGGGGGTGGGTGGGGGTGGGGTAAGGGGTATGGTCGGGGTGGGGTAGTAAGGTCTAGGGGTACAGGTTGGGTGGGGTAGTGGGTGGGTTAGGGTGGTGGTTAGTGGTAAGGGTGGGGGTAGTGATTGGGGTTGGGGTTGGGGTAAGGTAGGGGTATGGTAGGGAGTTGGGATAGGATGACAATATGGTGGGGCTGAGGTAAGGGAAGGGGTTAGGGTGGGGGGTAGGATGGCAGTACGAGGGTGGGGGTAACGGTATGGTGGGGCCTAGGTAGGGGGAATGTGGGAAGGGGTAAGGTAGAGGTAAGGGGTAATATACGAGGTGGGGTAGGGTAGGGTGGGATCGGGGTGGGGTTGAGGTGGTAGGGGTGGCGGTAAGGTAGGGTGGATCAGGGGTGGGACCGATGTAGGGGCATGTGGTAGAGGGTGGGTGTAGGGTCATTGTAGGGAAAAGGGGTATGCGGGGTGGGGGTTGGGTGGGTAGGGTAGGGTAGGGGTAAGGGGTTAGGTATGGCGATGGAGGTACTAGAATGGAATCGACATCAGAGCGGAACCGGACCCACCACTAGGTGTAAATATGCAAATTCATTGTAGCGGCATGTCACATCTGCGTTTTCCAAATTTGGAAAACTAGTAAAAGTCACTTCTACAAATCATTAAGGAAAAGAGAGACATTTCTCATTTTTTCGTTTTGGAAAACGGTTTGGTAAACACGTTTTTCTATTTTTCTTTCTCCAGTTTTCCATCAATTTTCTTTGGTAAACGTGTTTCCTGTTTTCTATTTTCTAGTTTTCCAGTTTTCTGGAAAACTGGAAAATATCTCTGTTAGTAAACAGGCCCTTACATTTTCCATTTTTCTTTTCACTTACCCTATTATTCCTCCCCATTAAATCCCCATCTCACCCACATATTTGAATCATCTACAGTGTTTTTTACTTTATCTACAGTACACCTATATTTCTTCTTAAACTACTCAAAAAGCCTAATGGGTCATCTAAATAGATACGGAGGGAGTAAAAAAGTAGATTTCCCAAAATAAGAGTAAATGGAGTTTGAAATTCGAAAATAGGACTACTACGTTTTTATTCCCGAAATGAGACTAACATGACAATATTTACTGTCATCTTATAGGCGTGACTGCTAAATAATTGCAGTATATAGTGCATTTAACATGACAATATTTATTGTAATTAATGACATTATTTTTCAATCATGATAGTAACAACTTCTATTTCGGGAAGAAAAACATACTAGTCATATTTTGGAATTCCAAATCTCATTTGCTCCTATTTTGGGCAATTTCCCTAATAAAAATTATGTAAGAAAGTTAATTCAACTCTAAGGGTATATAGGAAGATTTGCAATTTTAGTCTTGTAACTTTTGGTTGTTTTCATTATTAGTCTCGTAACTTTAGTCACTTGCAAGTTTGGTCTTATAACTGATAAGTGTTTGCGAGATAAGGACTTACCCCGGAAAATTACACTATCCGGCAGAAAATCCAATGCCGGTGGCATCATTTTCGGTATATTTTTGCCGGAATGTTTACTTTTCCAAGGAAATGTCCTTAAATTGCAAAAAAATTATTAGTTAGACCAAACTTGCAAGTAACTAATGTTATGAGACTAAGGATGTTTTCTTTTGGACTAGAATTTGCTAATCTGGTCTGGTCCGGTCTGATAAACGTCTGGTCTCTGTGTATTTTATAACTACGGAAGTCTTGTCTGGTCTGGTCTGATTTGGGACTCAAACCAATCCAAAAGAAAACATCCTAATAATGAAAATTAAAGAGCTTAAAGTTATGAGACCAAAATCGCAAATCTCTCAAATATATATAAAGGATATCAATATGAAGGAATTAAGTTAATAATAAGTCATATAATAAGAAAATTAAAGTAATGCATACATACACTTCAAATATTCCAGATTTTCCACCATGGGTATCGTTCCAGACCACGTCCCAATACCTATACATAATACATCATCTCATTACGGAGTATTATTTATAGCACGTTTGGTAACACTAAAATCAGCTGAAGTAGCTGATTCTGTTGAAATTTATGAAGTTCTGGCTGAAGTGGCTGTAATGGCGGATCTAGAAAAAAAGTGTTATTGAGGGCATCATTTAAAAGGTTTGGTACAAATATTTTTCAAATATATATCAAACTTAAAATCAATCTCATAGTCAAAACTTTTTAAATTTCAAATATTAAGCTCAATATATATATATATATATATATATATATATATATATATATATATATATAGAGAGAGAGAGAGAGAGAGAGAGAGGACTGTTCTGGTGCGTCCTGCCGCACCAGAGGGGCCGTCCGGCCGATGGCTTTTGGCCGCCTTTCCGATGGAATTTTTTGATGAAATTTTTATGGCATGTTCTTCATCAATTCTAGTTTATCCACAAAACATTTCAGCTCAAAATTGGATATGGAAGACCTACAAATGATTTTTTGAAGTTGACTGCGCCAAATTATACATGGAAAAACACAGTCAACTTCAAAAAATCATTTGAAGACCTTCCAGATCGAATTTTGAGCTGCAATTTTTTGTGGATAAACTAGATTTGAATAAGAATATGCCATAAAAATTTAATCAAAAAATTCAATCGGGAAGTCGGTCAAAAGCCGTCGACCCTTAGGGGAGAGTTCAAATAAAAAGTGCAAATTTCACACTTTGCACGAGAAGACCACTTTTTATTTGAACTCTCCCATATATATATATATATATATATATATATATATATATATATATATATATATATATATATATATATGTGCATTTATTTTAATAACAACAATTATTTATTTATGACCAAAATAAAGATACTTTACAAAAATTTGACCATTAAGTGTATAAGTGTATTGATTATGTACACTTAAGAGGTCACATTTTTGTAAAGTATCTTTATTTTAGTCCTAAATATGTGAATTTAGTTTCAACCAAATTTTCACCAATATAAGTGAATTCAGTCAATTTTGTCTTATCAATAGGGTCTTTAAGGTACATGTGACTGAAATGTCAAAAAATAAATTTTACTATTTCTTAAAAACTTAATTTTAATTTTTTATCATTTCCAAAAAAATTAACAATTTGTAATAATTAGCTCAAATAATTTTTAAAAGAGCAAAAACAGAAAAATGAAAAAGTAAACTAAAAAACTAATAATTTCTAAGGACGGCACAAAAACAAACACTATGGCGGAAAGAACAAAAAAATTGAAAACGAAAAGGTAAAATAAACAACAATAATAATATTTAAGGACTTCACAAACGTACAAACACTATGGGTAGGCTAAGAATTCTTTGAGCTCGAACCATGATACGAAGTATTAATTACATTAATGAGTGGATGTTCTCCATTTTTTTGAGTGATTTGGATACAATATCTTATTGGCATTGAGTTTTTAACATATGATTGACTTATATCCATCTTAGCAATATAAATACATATTTACTAAATACGGAGTATTTGTCAATAAATTACATAATATGTTGGTCCTTGCGCTTTATTTGATGTTGCAGACATGAAAAAATTTCATGCAGCGTAACATAGTTTGCCGAATGGGAATGAAAATCGGATTCTTGCTAACACAGCAAATAGTACCACATGCAATGTGGTACGACACAAAGCAGTTCTAATGGTGGAAAATTGCACTACGAACTCTCAAATGTAACTAAAGGTATGTTATTTATGATAACATTTTATGGAGCCTAAAATTACATGCATGTACTTATCTTAGAACTTTATGTTATATAGTGGACTGTCGAAAATGATATCGCATTTCAATCAAATCAGTTTCATTTCAAATTCTTGCTGAACACTTCCATCTATTGTCAAATATGACTTCTGAACAAAAGAATATATATGATACCATCATGCAATGTGTTAATGAAGATCGTGGCAGTGTGTTTTTCATGTATGAATATGGCGGTATAGGTACAACATACATATGGAGGGTGATATATGCATGCATAAGATCCAAAGGTGAAATTGTGCAGAGAAGTCATCTAGCTGAGCTAATAATCAAAGCAAAGCTTATCATATGGGATGAAACTCCAAAGTCATGCAAACATTGTTTTGAAGTTGTAGACCGGACACTACAAGATTTGCTTAGACTTCACAATCATGATAGCTTGAAGCTTCCGTTTGGAGGGAAAATTGCCGTTTTTTGTGGTGATTTCAGGCATATACTCTCTGTCATGCCAAAGGTATCTAGGCAAGAGGTTGTCCGTGCTACTATTAATGTCTCATGTATTTGGTGACATTATCACATTTTCACTTTAACAAAAAACATGAGGCTACAATGTGGTTTTTCGCATTGTAATGTTGAGGAATTGAATTTTTTTTTTGATTTGGTGCTCAAAATAGGAGATTGGAAATATTGGGAATGTCATAGATAGAGAAGTCTTCATTGATATACCTGATGATATGCTTATTACCACTTAATGGGATTATATTGCCTCAATTGTTGCTAGCACTTATCCATAATTTTTGGAAAATATGATTGATCCATCATATTTTTAGCAAAGAGCTATTTTGACACCAACAAATAATGATGTTGAGCTTATAAATAATTATATGATTTCATTGATGCGTGGAGAAATGAGGACATACTCGAAGGCACACACACGAGTTTTCGAACACTATCAATGCATCAAGGATACCGAACCATAAACTGGGACTAAAGGTTGGTGTTCCTATTATGTTAATGAGAAACATTGACCAGTCTCTACGACTTATGCAACGGAACTTGCCTGATTATTACTCGGTTGGGTAATTTGTTTTAGAGGCCAATGTTATAACTCGAAACAGTATTGGTCAAAAGATTTTGATTCCTCGATTGTCATTTGTCCCGTCGGATAATGAGTTTTTTTCAAATTCCAATGTAAACAATTTCCAATAATTATTTCATTTGCCATGATGATAAGGTTACACATTATCATTTATTTTAGTATTCTTACAATATTTTCATACGATTCAAATTTTCCTACAACTACTACTACGTATATAATAAACGTTACATCATATAAACTCTATCGTCTCATTTTATTCGGCAAAATTACACATTACTTATCAATGATATCATCATAAAATATAATTTTAAATAAGTTATTATTCAATTCCTAGATATACCCCGTGCATCGCACGGGTACATCGTCTAGTTTGAAAACTATGTCAAAAGTGTATCCGTGGATCGTAAAAACAAACTTCAAAAATACTTAGTATTTAAATTTGGTATATAAATTAGACATCGATTAAAAGATTGTTGACTAATTAGTTACGTGATTAGAAGATTTGAGTACGACGACATTGATTAATCGCGACATGTTTTTTAATTTCTTCTCCATTGAGATTCATGTTTCTTCTCAAAATGCAACATTACATAAGTACATTTTGTTCATATGGAGATTAATATGCAGAAAATGTTACATACCCTCGATTAGATTCATTGTTTAGAACTTCAAGAAGATTGTCTATGCCATTATAACGTATGCCAGTCACAATTCCCTCTGGATTTGATATCGTCAATTGAACTATACCATTATCGATCATTACCTGCACCAAATAAAATAAGCAATAGTCGATTAAAGATGAATTAACAATGATCTAAATAATCAATCTGATCCTACAAAAGTAATAAAAAGGAAAGGTGTAATTAAGCTGATGAAGTAAATCGAAGTGATTTTTTCATTAGTACGTTACGTACATGGCGATCTTGTTTGTACAGCCGCACTCCTATAGCTTGGCCTACCATCTTAATTATTATAATTCTACCCTCTTACTATATATTTCTTCGACTTTAATTATTTTTCTTGCACAATTTTTTTAGCCTAGCAAAACTAATTAACTTGTGCTTTAAATAGATGCTATATGGTGAAAGTTCTTTTTAGGAGGGGTTCGTTAATGGGCTGATGGTTTCCTTCAAGAAAGGGAAATTATTAATTAATAGTTATATGGCTTTGTCTTTACTAACGGATAATATACAGTTGCTTCCATTTGATGCATATACTATTGAAGTTTGGTGTAATGGATGTGTATCTTAAAAGTAAAGCGGAAGAAACCAATCTTATAAAAATGTTATTGTTTCAACGCCTATTGGGCCTTGATACATGGGCTAGTGAGGGCTCAGGCCCGTAGTTGAGGAATATTAAGGGGTGTCTTGTATTAAGAATTAGTGGCAAAATTTTAAAAATCTAATAAACAATGCTTATTAACATTGTGTTAGCAAGCAATTTTTAGTAAGCAACGTGTAATAAACATACGTTTACTTCAATATTATGTGTGGTTTGATAAGACAAATATGTGTTTACTTCAATAGGGTTATGATATCTATTAATTGTAAATGGTCAAAAATAACCTTGAACTTAACTAATAAAAACTCTTGAAGCCTACGTCCGTAAATTATATCCTACATCCGGATGTACGTGTACATCCGGTTATTTTGTAATTGTTAACAACTTTAAGCCTTTGCTTTCTCATCTTCAATTCCTTCTCGCTGGATCTCCATTCCATCTTCTTTCCTCTTCCGCCGTCTTCCTCTTTTCCCTTTTCTCGTTGGATCTTCGTTCCATTTTCTTTTCTTTTCTCTTCAGCCGCCGTCTCCTTTTCTTTCGCCGCCATACTCTTCGTTCCTCTTTTCGTTGTCATTCTTGATTGTTACTTTTTAGTTTTGTCTTTACTTTTATTGGTAGTTGGTTGGTTTGACTTCCTTTTGTTTTGTCTTTTTCTTTACTTCTTTCTGATTTGTTTTTTTAGTTCTTTTTTGATTTGTTATTTACTTCCTTTTCTTTATATATTAATTAATACTGAACATATTAGAAATGAGTTTTACTTTATACTCAAATGAGTAAAACGCCTAAAAAAATGAACATACAGAAATGAGTTTTTTAATTTTTGGATACTCATTTTGTAAGTTATGTATGTTCATTTAGTATTTCTATTATGCTCATTTTTAAAATGTTTTAGCAATGTATATTTTAAAAGTCTCATATTACATTAGATTTATATAGGAGTTCATTATAGACACAAGACCACAAATCATGATCGATACTTAATTGCAGATTCTAATACTCAATAACGGAGATTTGATGCTCATTGAAAATGTCTTGACGCTCAACGAACAAAACTTACAATTTTCATATCAATGCTCAACGCTCAACGAACAAAACTTACATATATACTCCGTAGTACATAGTACATACTCCCTCCGTCCCTTAAAATATAGGTCTGATACTCATTTTTATGTTACTGAGGGAGTAATAAATATCTCGATGTCTAAATAAGGTCATAAGGATTTTAACTTTTTAGTACGTGGTATTTGATTTAACTTGCTGAATGGCTAAATGCCTGTATACTCCGTAGTACATAGTACATACTCCCTCCATCCCTTAAAACTTTGACATCTTTCCTTTTTGGGACGTCCCAAAAAACTTTACCACTTTCCCTTTTAATCAATTATTTTGTGGTTTCTGTTTTTTCTCTCTCCTCTGCACAAATCTTAACCACCCAGTTTTTACTTTATTATTCTCCGTGCCGGTCAACTTTGGCAAAGTTTTAAGGGACGGAGGTAGTACTAATTACAATTGGGTTTGTGTGATTGCAAGTGAACTGGTGTCTACTACAATTGTAAAGTTAAATAGTACCGAGTAGTATTTAACATGCTAAATTTATGACTAGTAGTATAATTTATTTATTTATTTTGGTTTAATATTGCTATATTGGTAAAAGAAACCGGTATTGTGTTGATGAGATTATATGATATTGATGGAGTATATGGCCCAGGAACCCCCGGCCCACAGACTCCTACTACTCTCACAGTCCCAACAAGCCCAAGGAGCGTAGGAGGCTCAAGATGCTGAGATGTTGCGGCCCAAGCTCTAGGAGAACCGCGGTGCACATACGGGTAGCCTTCGGCACTATGGCCGAAGGCTCCAAAACTCATAGAACAGCCATATTCGAGCATACGAAGCTACTGGGAGAAAATGACAGAAAACGGGAGCCCTCAGCATTAGAGAAACCTTCGGCTGAACCAAGCCCTCGGCTATACAGAGCCTTCGGCTACACGGAGCCCTCGGCTGCGTGGAATGCCTTCGGCTAACAGGCTCAATCATCAAAGATTCCCTTTGGAGACAGCCAACCGCCGTATTTAATACGGCGTCACGTCCACCCACCGCATTTAATGCGGTGCACATGCGAGTGCCAGCGCCACCCCGATTGAGGTGACCCCTCGACCGTTAGATTATTGACACGTGTGCTCCCATCACATTTTTTGTTGCTATAAATAGCAGCCCTTGCTCCACTTGTAAAGGCAGAACATCTCGAGTTCATTAATAGAATCGTCTCTCTCTCCTATTTGTTTGCTCTAACTTCTCTCTAGGTTATTCTCATAGTAACCCCCCGGATAAGCTACCCCCCGGGTACACTATCCATCATTTGGTGCTCTCGTTGAGAGGTCCGAACAATCAAGTAAGAAACCCTCCCCTTCGTCAGAAACAAAAACACCTACCAAAATGGGAAGGACTCGTGGTCAATCCAAAACCCTCGAGGAAAACCAAGCAGCCCCCGGCGAAGCCAACGGGGCTGAAGACTCCAACAGGCTCTTGGTACCCGAAGGCGGTACTATCCTCGAATTGAAGCACAAGGCAACTTCCCGAGGATGAAGCCCGTGCTAAACTAGCAAAACTGAGGGCTCCCAGCTACACCGTCGAGAATTGGAGGCTTTACAAAAGATCTTACAACGGTACCCTCCTTCGGTGCCTTCATCAGGATGAAGCCGAAGTTGCGATGGAGGAAGTGCACAGTGGCACTTGCTCAGCTCATCAGGGACCCTTCTCCATGTCCCGAAGGCTCATAGTCCAGAGTTACTTCTGGCCCACCATGGCCCGTGATTGCGCAAATTCTTGCCCGAAGGTGCACCGCTTGTCAGCACTTTTCGAAGGCCCCCGGCAGACCAGCAATCAACTATACCCCCATCAGCACTGCTATACCCTTCTCCAGATGAGGGATTGACCTAGTAGGTCCTTTGCCGAGGGGTACCTCCAATAACAGGTACATCATTGTTGCCATTGACTACTTCACCAAGTGGGTAGAGGCTGAACCCCTCGCTAGCATCACCGAGGCAAGGTGCCACCACTTTGTCCTCAAGAACATTCTCACAAGGTTCGGCGTCCTCCAACAAATTATTTCTGACAACGGGACCCAATTTGAGGCAGCCCCCTTTTGTGCCCTCCTAGAGGCATGGGGCATCAAACACACATTCTCTTCGGTTGCCTACCCTCAAGGCAACGGACAGGTGGAGAACGCCAACCGAACTTTGCTTGAAGGCCTAAAAAAGAAGCTTGAAGCCGAAGGGGGAGGCTAGGTAGAAGAACTCCACAATATTCTCTGGGCCTACCGAACTACCCCTAGGCGAGCAACGGGTGAAACACCCTTCTCCCTATGTTACGGTTTTGAGGCGAAGGCCCCCACGGAGGTAACTCTGCCTACCCGAAGGATAGACCTATATAACCCTGAGGTGAACGACGCCAACATGGCCCTTGACCTTCACCTCATCTCAGAACGCCGAGAGCAAGCCTTCATCAAGGCTGAAAACTATAGGCGCCAAGTTAAAGGCTACATCGACGCTAAGATCCGTTCCCGAGGATTCCAAGTGGGTGACTATGTCCTCCGAAGAAGGGAGGCTAGTCAACCAACCGAAGGCGGCAAAATGGCGCCCAAATTTGAGGGTCCATACATCATTGCAGCCGTCATCAAACCGGGAACTTATAAGCTCAAGCGCCCCAACGGGACCAAGGTCCCTAGGCACTGGAACATATACCACTTAGTCAAATTTTATGAGTGATATGTGAGCGACCAAGCCCTCACCACCAATGTATTTCATCAAACGGCCCAAGGCCCCCCTCCTCAGAAGAATGAATCTGTGTTCAAACGCAAAAAATACCAAGTATAAACTACGTGTGAGCGGCCAAGACCTCATCGCTCATAAGAAACTACCCACGGCCCAGGGCCCTCTCCCTCTCATGAGGGAAAAACGCAACATCATTACAAAAAGTACCAAGTACCGGGTGCGCGGTATACGCCGACCCCTCGAAAACACCAAGTGTTTTCCGAATAAGTCGTACCCCTCGAGGACGCCCCACATGCATGTATTATTTCATGCATACTCATACTTGCATAAAAAAGGGGGTACAATACCCCTCGGCTCTGGCAGGTACCAAGTACCCTGGCTATTCGTGTTCCACACACAAATAAAACCCTTCCCTGAAACGCTTTCCGCGCCATCCCCCAAGGGGATGCAAGCAACGGACCATGTCCCGGGCCCATGATTCGACTTTCACAAACGAAACGCTCCCCGCGCTATCCCACAAGGGGAAGCAGACAACAAACCATGTCTCGGGCTGAGGGGATGACTTTCAAAACCGAGGTGCTTTCCACGCTATCCCCCAAGGGGAAGCAGGCAACATACGATCTCTCGGGCAGAGGAAACGACCCTCAAACCCTTCGGGATCTTGGAAGGTCAATCCCGAGGGAGGAGCCAACAGTCTATTCCGTTACCTCCGATATAGGCCAAGCCTTGCCTGGAAACCAAGTTTCTTGATGCCCCTCCTACAGCATTAAATAAATATATATATTTAATAAAAGCGTAGGGGGGAAGGAACTCCCTGGATACTATTCTCCCCGAGGGCTCAACAACAATTCGGAAGATATATTCCCGAAGGCTCTTACAAAGATACAAGGGAATCTCTCAACACAACATCCTTCGGCTGCGTGCCCGAAGGCTCCCCTACATAAAGTCTTGGAGTGTAAGGAACTCTCCGTAAGCTCTAAACGAAGGCTCTTAACGAAGGTGGTGTGTAGCATATAATGAGCACACAACTATTTTTTTACCCAAGGAATTAGGGTGTC